CCTCTCTGCAGGGAAGTGTATGTGTTTTATCTAAAAAAGGAAAAACGTGCCATTCTTGGGGTGTGAAGTAACGTTAGTGTTTCACTGATGCATATCTCCTTGTGATGTAAAAATAAGCTGAACAGAGGCCTCAGGAGACTTGTGGACAAAACTACTTTTCTCCCTATAAAGAGAAGGTGATTTCACAGACTCTTAAAAGTAGAACAACTTTAGGTTCACATACCGTAATGCAAATTTCATGTTCCTATCACTAAGTTTGGTTCGCAGAACTTTCATCTACTTTAATTCTGCTATTTCCTCTTGCTTGTTTGCAGCACTTTAAATAAAGTGAAGGTCTTCTATTCCAGTCAAAGCAAGAGGTCTCATAAGGATGTTAATAATTATTGCACGTGGTCATTATTACGTTGTTACGCATTCCAGATAGGCAAAGAATGCATTCATTTCCTCATACATCACTTAAGTACACACATTTCAGACACTGAAATATGAAAGGTGTTGCAGACTTGTGTTAATGGCCCACCATCAGCTTCTAACACCTCTTGGAAGCGCTCTCTTAACAATTTGATTATTAAGACACCTTGAGTTGGGTTTCATTTGTATCATAGGCAGTTGTCTTTCATTGAAAGTTGACCCCCCCCTCTATCAAGAATTGATATTTTGAGCTGCCTTATTTTTGTATATTCCATACACGTGAATCCCAACACAAACTGCTAACAGACTACATAGCGCGTTTTCATTTAGTCAGAATTTGAGGTGGATTTGATCTCGCAGATGAAAGTAGATTTGCTTGCCACTGCATATGATCATCTGAGTTGGAGTAAAGATTTTCTCTCTTGTTTTTTTGCCTGGCCTGTGGACAATGAGAAGTCACGTTCTCTTTGGGAGAGAGATGTGAAAAGTGACACAGAAAAGCAGTATGTTATTAGAGGCCCTGAACTTGCTTTATGGGACTCACAAGTACAATAGAAAACTATTTATGATCTGTAAATTGAAAAAGGTCAAACTTTTTGGCTTTTAGAGTGAAAAAACATGTAATAGCAGTTGATGCTATAGGATTCAAATTTTGGAATTGTTAAGTGGGCAAGATGTAGTCTTACCCAGAGCTGATATGACAGCTTCCCGCAGTGTTCTTTAGCTATTTCAGTGGTAATCAGAACCTTACAATATGGTTGTAAACAGCTATCCTTTGTTTACTCTGAATTCAAAAGGTTGTCACTACTCCCAGGTAGCTATGGAAGATGAGCCTGATTTATTGCTTCTCAGAGAGGGACTCTGAGGTTTGATATTGTCTGTCACTATAGGATACTTTTATTCTCCTGCCGTGGGCCTTCTGTGATTTTGGCTGAATTGCTTCATCCCCTTCCATTCTGTGTGCAGTTTATAAGCTAGGGAAAGCTTTGTATCATGTTCTGTCTCAGCACTATTTAGTCTGTGGGCCTTCCGCCTCAATCAGAGATCTCAGGCATTTCTGTAGTACTGGTTTGTAATCTCATCAGTCTTTCATCATTGCTATGTAATGGAGTGTGCAACTCAGCACTGAAGAGGCAGTTACAGCTTGAAAGGAGTCCAAAGGTTATGTTTTATCACTGCAAGCTGCAACAGGACTGCACCTGGGTATTCTTCTATGCAATAAATGGTTAAACATGCCCTGCAATGTTATTGATGTGCTGATATTTTGTAAACAGAAGCAAAAGCCACTTTTATACCTTAAGTTTAGGAATGCAGAAACAAAGTATTGTGAAAATTTAAACTAGATTACACTTGAGAGTGTGAAAGATTTTTGAAATGGTTGTCTGGGACAAATCTTTCTTTGTGTTGCTATTAAATATACTGTTTATATCTTTTGTACTTGAATTGAAGGCTTCTGTGTGTTTTTCCCAAACCAGCCTGTCCAACGCATTGTCAAAGCATCTAAGGTCAGGGTTAAAGAAATAAAGTGCTTAGTGTTCACCTAGGGATCTCCTCGTGTGTGTATAATAGCTCAAAGTTTATGTTGTGCTTTGAAGTGTGCTCTGAGTTTTTCTGTAACTAGTGTGTGAAGAGTTGTGGGAAAAACTCCCCCAAATGTTCTGTATTCTCCATTTATTACACTTTTCCCTGAGGACTGAACAGTAGTTGGTGCTGCAAAGGGAGGTATTTGATTAGACAAATAGCATGATCCAGGAGAGAGTTCTGTGTCATCCTTCTTTTAAAAGGGGATGTTGCAATTGAAACTATTTCTAGATGTTTGTTTTGTTTGAAACAGTCCCATTGCTGACTTAAGCTTATTTAGCTCTTCAAGACCTACTTCCAGTATTTTTCTTTATGAACATAGAGAGGTCCTTGGCTCTAAAAGTGGAGTCAGTAATTTTATTTCTCAGTTCTCCTTTTTAAAACCTTGTTCCTCAGTTTATCCTAGAATTGTGAAAGGCTATAGGAGTTGAGGTGGCCTGGGGAGAGCTGGCATGGCTCTGCTAAAGAGAATGGTTTGTGGGTAGAGCAAGTGCTGTGTAGGAAGTCAATATCTTTCCTAAAGAGGAGGTAAATTTCCTTCCTAGTAGGTGCAGAGGCTACACTGCTTTGGGTGATGTTGTCTCTGGGGACGTAAATTCTGGCAGGGAACTTGCAGAGAATCTGTCAAGTTTGAATCTTTTGCCTACGTACTGGAGAAGGGAGGCTTCTTGGATATTTAGTGCCCTTACAGTGCAATGCAGGTTTAAAATCAATGACTCCCCCTACCCTGTGTCCTCTCCAAGCACAGCTGTTTCCTTTTGTTGAAAGACTGGAGAAGGGCCTGTTTGCTTAGTAGCGGAAGCTGCGATTTTTATTTTTTTTTTTAGAAATGCATGGTAAGTTAAGTGTTCCATTTTACAGAATGTTAAAATGCCATGGAGGCCACTGCCACTTTCCCCACAGTCCAGAGGTGGTACTACTTCCAGAGGGTGCCAGGATAGGACTTGAGGAGCCCAGGGCACACCTCAGAGAGTTGCTGCATTGTCTGCCTGTCTGATGAGATTGGGCTCAGCTGGCTGTACTGCAGTGCACGGCCTCTGTTCTTGGTAGATCGTTGTGCTGACCTTTCCCACTGTACTGCATGTAAATCAACATGTGGCTCTAGAACTCCTTCCTTTCTAGAATAATACAGCTGACCTGAATTCTGCTTGGTTTTCCTATTTATGCTCATGTGAGTCTGTTGTCTTTGCCAGGTGCTGTTCAGCCGGAAGCAATATTTTGGTGATAGTGGTGTTCTTGCTGATGTGAAAGCCACCTTTTTTCACAGCAGTTCACACTCTTAGCTTAAAGGTCTCAAGGCTTTGGATCTCTGTCTGCTTTGAGTTTGCTGGATCCCCTCCATTGAGAATACTGTCTCCTACAAGCCTCTATCTGGAGGTCAGGAGCTGCATTCACACAGAAACATGCAGCGATTCTAGTGAATACTGCTGAACTGTAGTGCCTGTGTTCTCCATAGATGGGACATCATCCTTTCACTGATAGAGACTTTCTATTTATGCAGGTGGCCACAACGCTTTTGGTTGAGCACAGAGCACGTCTCCACGTTTTACTTCTCAGTTGTACCACTTCTGTTCAACTACAGTTTAAAGTTGGTAATTGTTGTTTTAGAGCTTGGGTACTGTAGCCTTGAGTATCATTTCAGCCTTTGTTTCTTAATGAAGGTTCTGGGGAAGGTGGCAGAATGGAGTCTTTGGAGGCTATTCAATTTTGGTTGAATTTTAGAAAGGTGACTGCAAAACTATCATCTTCAATTCTGGTAAGGCGTGCCAAGTTTTAGGCATTGCCTTCTACTTTAATTAGAAAAATCTGCCTTTATTTACTTCTGGATGGAGATGGGTTGGAAATGTTGACGCTCATAAAGAGTCAAACTGGAATTAGAAGAAGACAGTTTGCTAGTAAGATTTGAAATGCTCAACACTGAAATTTACCGTGGGACCAGAGTAGTCATAATCCTCAAATTTGGGTAAACTTCTTCACAGGTGAATGGGAAAATTAAATTTAGACTTAAAAGTTTTCTTGAGATTGTGATGGGAGAGCACTGTATCATGTCATATTGGTTCAATCTGCATGTGATCTTTTTAGCAAGCTGGAAACAGTTTTAAAAGTGCTTTCATTCCAGCAGAAGTGTGTAGGTAGGAGCTGTCTCTAGAGAACTATGGAATAAGTCAACTTTGGTGAGCATATTTTTGGCTGTGTTATTAATGCCACCACTATTGTATAAGTTCTTTCCCTCTGAAGAGAGGATTTGTCATGCCAAAATGGTTGGGAAACCTTTGTATGACAGTTCTGGAGAAAGGACTCTAACATAGGCATGCAAAGGGTCTAAAGCCTGAATGATAGAACTGCTGTGCTGAGAGCACTGGGGCTGATGTACCCTTCAGTTGGATGCATGCTTTGCAGAGAGTTTACTTTCTGCTGCAATGAGAGCAAATGTCTAACACCATGGAAGCCATGGTGACTTCCTGTAAGCGTTGTGGGACCTCGTTTGAATAAAGGGCTTTCTTATTTTAAGTGTGCTATGTTTAGTGCATACTCCGCTTGAGCATGTAATGGTCTGCAGTTGTGTTATAGAGACCCTATGGTTGCCTAAAATGATTTAACTTCACATGCAAAGGTGCACTCCCCTTTTCAAGCTAGTTTGTTTTGGAGGTTGGGTTTTTCTGGGTTTTTTTCCTATCATCATGCTTTAAATCTGTAAATCTCCACATGTGGTTTGTTTCACTTGAAACTACATAGGAAATCCCCTTCTTCATAGGAAGGTTTTTGAGAATGAAAAAACTACTTAAATTTTAGTGGGGTAAATGCAAATAGGAGTTCAGCCACCCTTAGAATTGCTCTGTGGCTGTGAACATCACACTTTGGGTGTATCTGCTGTTCTTTTGAAGTGCTTTGGAGCTTCTGACATGATTTATAGGGACAGCCCTGTGGGTTTTTTTGCTGCAAAGCTATGGGTTGGTTCTTGCTTTGTATTTAATCCTCCTCCCTGTGATCATCTTGCACCTGTACAGGAACCCCTGGAGGATATGATGTACTGATTGTGTATGCAAGTGACGCCACTGAATGGTGTCAGTACCTCCAGAACCTCTTCCTCTTTAGTCGTCACGTTCGAAAGCATCGGATTCTGAGCTACCAACTGGAAGGCAAGTCTGCCATCTCCCACCAGGAGCTGGACCTATTCAACAGGAGTCGGAGCATCATCCTCTTGCTATCTGCTGAGTTGGTGCAGAGTTTTTATCTCCCTCCTGTCCTGCAGAGCCTTCAGGAAGCTTTGTGCCCCCCATACAAAGTAGTCAAGCTGTTCTGTGGTGTCACGGACTGTGATGACTATTTGACCTTTTTCAAGGACTGGTCTCAGTGGCAAGAACTCACAAATGATGATGAGCCTGATGCTTACCTTGCAGCTGTCAAGAGGGCTATTTCAGAAGGTAAGGTAGCAGCTATGGTGTTGCGCTTCCTCATCAGGGGTTGGAGGAGGGAGATATGTTGTTTATCCTTGTATTAACACTGGTAATGTGTTTTACTGAAATAGAACACTAAAGCAAATTGCACAACACTTGTAAACTAGGAAGTTTTGCAAGTTAATTTTTCTATGCCTGCTCAATTGATCCCTAATTCAGGAGAGATGAGCAGTGACTCACAGAGAACTTCTGAATTTGGAGGTTATCTTAGGTGCCTGATTTTGAATGCAAGTTGAAAATAAACCCAGTATCTTTTAAAGTTCTAACTGTAAATATTTTCCCCTGCAGTTTGACCTCAATTGGTGGAGAATTATCTTTTCCTTCAGACTTACTTTTCTGTCATGCCAGAACCAAAATAAAGTTGTGTAATGTGTATTCTCTAGCACTGGGCCTAACATCAGTTATAACCATACTGGCAACAGATCACCTTCTTACCTGTGATGGAATGGCAGAGATTAATTGGAGAACTGCACTGATGTCCTTAAAATAACCCAACCAATCTGAAAGTGCTCACCTCGTAACAAGCACAGAGGAATTACTAACGCAGAAGTGTTAACAGCTGGAGACTACAGAAGCCCAATGTACTGAGCTTTAGTTGAGTCTGAACTTTCCTAAACTCTAGAGGAGTGTGTGGTACTCCTTTCTCATAGTTTCAGTTGAAATGAGGATGGAGAACTTGGAGCAGTCGTGCTGGTCAGGACATTTTTATGACACTGCCATACTTAGGGTTATAGTGTTCTTTGTCAGCCTTAGCAGGATTGGAGTCCTGTGGTTGCATCTTGGGTTAAGATTTATCTGTATTTATTGGCATAAATGAGGCAGTGCAGTCTTCTAGTGCATCTGGTGTTGTCTGCATAAAGGTGCTTTTATGCCAGGATAACAAGGACAGTAATCATCATGATAAATTTATCACAGTAAAAATAAATTTTGAAAGTAATCATCTTGGCTGAAACAGTCCCTCTGAAAAAAGATGACTTAGGGATTCTGCTGAAGATGGCATTCTCAGGTAACCAGGCCACAACAGCTGTTTCCTAGTACCTTTTAAAAAACTGCATGAACTAAAGTTTGCATCTACCATTCAAACACTCCTAAAACATCTTGGTTTCCCAATGGATAACCTAGGGCTAAAGTTGTCTGCTCCTTTGCTTTCAGCCTGTAAGAAGACAGAAAAGTGTCTGAGTGGCTTTTGTGCTCTGGCTGAGTGGCTGAGCTTTTGTACTCTGAAGAATAAAAATGACCAGAGATAATTAGCTTTTGTGACACTTTCTGGCAAAAGTAAAAGTTTATTTACTGTTTTCCTCCAAACTTGGGTCTAGAGCATGGCACCAATGTTTTATTGATTTTTAAATATGCTATTCAAAGTTAGGGAGGCTTAAACAACATCTCTGTGGATTACTAGTCTTAATGGTTTTACTTAACACGTCTGAGGACTGTCAGAGTTATTTTAGGCCAGAGTAGGAGCAAGTTCTGGTGTAGCTGAAGAGCATGTGAGAGTACAAAGGGATATTGATCCCGAAATCTCTTGTCAGAGCCAGCTCTCACCAGTCTTTTCTGGCTTGATGCATTCTGAGTGCACAAAGCACAACATGGGGCAGGAGAAAGACTCCTGCTTCCTGGGCTGTGGATGGAGCGGGAAGCGTGAGTGTCGCTGTCCTTCATTAAATGGACTGGTTATAGTGGGAGGTTTCACGTAGCCGAGTGGATCCCTACAGTGAAAGGCTTTTACCCATCTTGCTTGTTTTGAGCATGTTAAAAATCAAAGAGAATTTGAGGTGAAGGGAAAGGGACAAGCGTAGGAATGGATCAGCTAGAAACCACTCTGAATCATCTGCTTCTCTCTATAGAGAAGGGTTTGTCAAGGGGAAGCACGCAAAATCTGAGGTTTTTATACTGGGAAAGCATATCTGTTGGCAGTGGTACACTGAATGCAGAGCCTTGTCAACTAAAGAGCAGCCTCGGTTCTCTTTGATGTCAGATGCAGTCAATGAATTGTGTGAAGCTGACCTGGCTCTCTTCCTTCACTCAACAAATGGTTCTCCACAGGTGAGCCAGCTCCCTGTGTACAGCTGGCTGCCCCTTGGCACACTGGGGGCTGTGCCTGGGGGACCTGGGTGCTGGATCTTCTCAGCACTTCTCAGAGCCCACCCTGCGAGGGGGCAAAGGTGGGTCTTACTGGTAGTGCTATGCTGTCTGAGCAGCCAGAGAAGTACGTCTTGTGCACCTGGCTGTTTAGTGGGCTGGCTGCCATAAATCTATGGCAAAACTTCTTTGAGGTGAGGCACTACAGTCTGACTTTTCACAGTTGGATGTAGAGTCCTTCTCCAGAGGTTTCATCTCTGCTGAAAGTTAGCATGTGCTGAAAGTAACTGTGCTTTACCTTTATGTAAACAGTGTTTTGAAAGGGAGGTTGTGCTTTGGATTTTTATTATTTCTACATAACAACAAAGAAATCAGATTATTTTCTTTCTCACTTGAACAAGCATACATTGATCTCAAACTGACTTCAGTATACCTAAAAAATATTTGACTGAGAGAAAAAATGAGATAAAACCAAACTCATTTGCTGTGGACTCTGCTGTAGCGTTTTTCCAAATAGTTTGGTACATAAAGATTCAGAATTTCTGGACTTTGGTTGCTACCTGCTGTGAGCCATCAGCTGCACACAAGAGTTGGGTAATGTCATGTTTCTTCATGCACATCATAGCAGTTGCCAAGGCAAGCCATCTGCTGTCACTCTGACTTTTGTGAAGGAAGAACCTACTTAAGATAGGCTGGTTTCATGGCAAAAGCATTTGGATGAATGTGTTGGATCCTCCTTCTGTATAGGAAAAAAATGACTAGGTGACCTTTTCCATTGTGTGATTCTGCAGCCCAGGTTTTGTGAATGGCCTTAAATGCAAATGTTCTGATGCTTCCTCTGAAGAGAAGACAACCCCAGGTGGACATAGTTCCCTTTTTGGGTGAAAGTGTGAAAACATTCTTCTTGGTTGGTAATTAAAAATTAGCATCTGCCTTATAGTTTGGTTGCAGCTTACCCCAGCATGAGGGATTTAAAGTATGAGTGTTTGTGACAGCAGACCTCTCCCATAGAGAAACAGCCTGTGCTCTGCTCCCAGGACTTCCTTGTTAGGATTTTAGATGAAGGCTTTGAAGTTGCAGCTCTTAGAAGGTCTCAGGTCCATTCTCTACAGTAGATTATGAACTTTTACTGAGTAAGGCAGCCCTCAATTCTTACAGCACTTAGCAGAGAAAATTTATGACCGTGTTTGAAACTGTTTGTCTGGCTGTCTTCCTCAGGGAAGTACTCTCCACACACGTTCACTGGTACTTCTAACAGCAGCATCAGTGCACATTGAAAAACTAAGCCTGATGCAAAACTGACTGAGCTTCAGCTTTGTAATAGCTGAATCCTGAGCCATTGGAGCACATGACACAGGACATAGTGAGGGCAAATACCTTTCCAGAACCTGTACACTGGCCCTGCTCAGGCTGTGCTGTTGCCTCTAGTGCAGCTGTTAGGCTGTGGTTTGTTTAGTGCATCATGGGAACGTGACGCCCCCAGACATCATATGCTGAAAGCTGATTTAATTTTCATTAGTTAGTATGAGTTCAGAATTGAGGAAGCACTCATCTAGCCTTGTTGAGAACTGTGTGCTGACACTGACACTTGCTGTCTTGTAAATGGGGCATTTTTACTTCTACAGTTTCTCAATCCTGGCAAATTACAGAGGGTATGAAGGTTTCCATTTGCAGGCATTCC